AAGAAAAACGAGTGGCCTTCATTACTTTAAGAAATGAAGGTCAGTCAGTCCGGAAAATTGCAAAAACTTTAAATGTGTCCCCAAGTGGAGTCGCAAAAACCATCAAGCGCTACAACTAAACTGGCACACATGAGGACCGACCCAGGAAAGGAAGACCAAGAGTCACCTCTGTTTCTGAGGATAAGTTCATCCGAGTCACCAGCCTCAGAAATGGCAAGTTAACAGCAGCTCAGATCAGAGACCAGATGAATGCCACACAGAGTTCTAGCAGCAGACCCATCTCTAGAACAACTGTTAAGAGGAGACTGCGCCAATCAGGCCTTCATGGTCAAATAGCTGCTAGGAAACCACTGCTAAGGAGAGGCAACAAGCAGAAGAGATTTGTTTGGGCCAAGAAACACAAGGAATGGACATTAGACCAGTGGAAATCTGTGCTTTGGTCTGATGAGTCCAAATTTGAGATCTTTGGTTCCAACCGCCGTGTCTTTGTGAGACGCAGAAAAGGTGAACGGATGGATTCCACATGCCTGGTTCCCACTGTGAAGCATGGAGGAGGAGGTGTGATGGTGTGGGGGTGTTTTGCTGGTGACACTGTTGGGGATTTATTCAAAATTGAAGGCACACTGAACCAGCATGGCTACCACAGCATCCTGCAGCGACATGCCATCCCATCCGGTTTGCGTTTAGTTGGACGATCATTTATTTTTCAACAGGACAATGACCCCAAACACACCTCCAGGCTGTGTAAGGGCTATTTAACCAAGAAGGAGAGTGATGGAGTGCTGCGGCAGATGACCTGGCCTCCACAGTCACCGGACCTGAACCCAATCGAGATGGTTTGGGGTGAGCTGGACCACAGAGTGAAGGCAAAGGGGCCAACAAGTGCTAAACACCTCTGGGAACTCCTTCAAGACTGTTGGAAAACCATTTCAGGTGACTACCTCTTGAAGCTCATGGAGAGAATGCCAAGATTGTGCAAAGCAGTAATCAGAGCAAAGGGTGGCTATTTTGAAGAAACTAGAATATAAAACATGTTTTCAGTTATTTCACCTTTTTTTGTTAAGTACATAACTCCACATGTGTTCATTCATAGTTTTGATGCCTTCAGTGAGAATCTACAATGTAAATAGTCATGAAAATAAAAAAAACGCATTGAATGAGAAGGTGTGTCCAAACTTTTGGCCTGTACTGTATATTGGCCATGACTGACAGGATCTTAGCATTTGGTTTTGTTGGTCACAAAATGCACAGCACACAGGAAACATTGGTCATATATGCTATTTTTTGGCTCCACACTTTAATAACAAACTAGAGTGTCAGACTTGGACTCAGATATAGCCTGAGTGCCACAGAACACCAAACGTCTTATGGTAAATTCTCCCAAAAAGGCCAACAAATCTCAGAGTACGACAAAAATACCACAACACATGTATCACAGGAACATAGTGATTACCGCAGGAATTCCAGCACTGAGGTACCACAACTTCTTTTATGTGGTGTTGCACCATAAGACTTTTTGCTAAGGTTGAAAGACAAGTATGTCTGATCAGGGTTTGGATTTTCCACATCTGTACACAGCAATAGTGTGCTGTCTGAACTGATAAATTTACATGATTTCGTATCTTTAGAAAGAATCAAAATGAAATTCTTCTGTACAGTAGTTACACAACTCTAAGGTAGCACTTCCTAAATTCATCCAAAGACTTTTTGAGCCAAGAGATTACCATAACTTGGTGTTCATACTGTTGTCTCCCTCCAGACTACTCTTTCATTTTATGAGGACCCAAAAAAAGTGTTTATTTTTCCAGTTTTTCAATTATTTTGTGTTCAGTGTTACAATATTGTCATAGTAAATTCCTACACCAAGTAATCCAAATGGCTGTTTATAATGGCATACATCTGGTTTCACTTTTTGGGGAGTTAACCTTGTTGAACTTGTTACAGCATCAATAACACTCATCCAGTAAAATACCAGAACATAATACTCAACTGTGAATTATCATCACAACAGAGGTTATTGTTGAACATACTGTAGGACATCTCATCTTTTGTGGTTTCTGTGTTTATTGATGTCAGCCTGTTCCTCTAAATTGGCTTGGAAATTACATAGTCTAAAGTATTTCTGTCTTTGTTTTTCTTCTGATGTTTCGGTCAAAGAGATGACTTACCAGCTCAGAAATGTTAATTACTTATGTTTCATTTCCTGCCTTTGCTGATCACACACTATGGAGCTGTATGGAGGAAGAGACTCTCTAACGCCCTCCTGTGTTGAGATGGCAGTTTTGTTTCCCATGAATCTAAGCCAAGCCTTTTCACACTCAGGCTTCTCAGACCACAGAGACTTGGGACTTTGTTAGTATGACAGTTCCTTCGACAATATCAAAGTAAACATTGCTTTTAAATTGTTGTTGCCTGTATACACCAAAAGGGCCACTGTGTAAGATTTACGGGGATATAGTGACATCAAGCTGTGTGGATTGTAGATCGCAACCAGTTGAAACTTTTCTCAGTTAGATTTCCTCAAGTGTTCATTGTTCAGGAGGTTTTTTACCAGGAACCGAATTATCCGCAGAGGTCTCTTCCTCTCCAAAAATAAAGGACCTAGTGATTAAATCCAGTAAAACACTGAATAAAGTAGTTTTACTTGACAACTCAGTGTCCCTGACCTATGGTCATGAGCTCTGGGTAATGACCGCAAGAATGAGGTTGCTGATACAGGCGGTTGAAATGAGTTTCCTCAGAAGGATGGCTGGGCTCATCTGGAGGGAGGTCAGAGTAGAGCTGCTGCTCCTTCGCATCGAAAGGTGTCAGTTGAGGTGGTTTGGGTATCTGATCAGGATGCCTCCTGGGTGCCTCCTGTTAGAAGTGTTCTGGGCACGTCCCACTGGTAGCAGGCCCCAGCGTAGACCCAGGACACGCTGGAGGAATTACATATGTCGTCTGGCCTGGGAACACCTCAGGGTCCCCCAGGAGGAGCTGGAAAGCATTTCTGGGGAGAGGGACCTCTGGAATGCTTTGCTCGGCCTGCTGCCCCCACAACCTGGCTTTGGACCCGCTCCCTATGAAGATGTAAATGGCTCATTCTAAGGTAATGAAAACACCGAAGTTATACACCAGAGAAAACATACTTATTATATTCCATTTCTGCCAATATATGCCCCTACACACTGGACTTTGAAATGTGGAAAAGTCCTTACACATTTTAATGTCATGCATGATCCAGTTAAAGTAGTTACTTTGGGTGCTTTCTTGTCTATTTCAAAGCATATGATGTAGGCTCCTGTAGCTCTGTGGGTCATAGCTTTTACCCCAGATAACAGCAGGCTCTAATGCTCCTTGCATGATTTCATTTACTGTAATTGCTAATGGAAAAAGAGCAGCAGCAGGATAGCAATGGCTAATGGCTGGTTTGCAGTCATCAGGTAAAAGCTATAACTAGATATATTTAATGAATTGTGAGATGGTTATTGCTGGGATAATACCTCAAGATGCATTATGTGCCCTGTAACCTTTTGGATGTTTTGTAGGACACAGGCACTGTACATTCGCAGTAAAAGGACCACCCAGACCCCCAGGTGATGAATCTTGTCGCTCTGATAATGTATTCATGATTTCTCTAGACAGCATCAATAGCGTGGTCTCATTGCTGTGTTTCATACAAATTGAATAAACTGTCAAGAAGGTGACTTTGCAATAACCTCCCCAAAGCAGCAGACACTCTCGAGGGCCTCAAGTGCTCTCCCAAGGTCAGCCACAGCAGGAGACAGAGCTGCCACTCATCTGCCAAACCCTGGAGGGGAAGGATATTTTCATCTCAAGCTCCGACACCCGTGACCCAGCATGGGTCGAGAGCAGAGACGGAAGACCGCAGGGCCACGGGGGTTCATTCCAAACAACAGCTGTGCATCATTCAGCTTGACAAGACACTTAGACAATGGATTTGTGCCCTGCAGTGGACAACGGGCATGCAGGCTGCTTATCAGTTTAGTCTGTGAGGTCTCAATTAGTTCAACATTATCAGAGGTGGGTAGTAACTAGTTACATTTACTCAGTTACATTTACTTGAGTAACTTTTTGGATAAACTGTACTTTTCAGAGTAGTTTTAATGCAAAATACATTTTACTTTTACTTGAGTTATATTGTTTTAAAGCAACAATACTCTTACTTGAGTACAATATTTGACTACTCTACCCACCTCTGAGTACATAATTACATATATATATATATATATGTACAGTATATATAAGAATATATTTGTGTTTCTTGTGCCTTGATTTATGTTATGTTTGTAAAGATTTAATTTATTTTTGTTTTAGTTAAAGGGGTATCGTTTAAAATACATGAATTTGCAGATTATTATTTTTGATTGATTGATTACGTTCATGTTCTTATTTTACAAATAAATCAGACGTTACTCAACAGTTACTCAGTACCTGAGTGGTTTTTTCACCAAATACTCTTTTACTCTTACTCGAGTAATTATTTGGATGACTACTTTTTACTTTTACTTGAGTAATATTGTTCTAAAGTATCAGTACTCTTACTTGAGTACAATATTTGGCTACTCTACCCACCTCTGAACATTATGGAGATGTCAGAATCTGAATTTATTGCTTAATAATGACAGTAAAACCAGAAAATGACCAGAGAATTTACATTGTCAGCTTTCTCGCAGCCTTGTTAAATCCCTGTTTTTCATATGAATGCATAAAGGTTGCATTTGTAGAGGGAACATCATGAGAGTAAATAAAGACACTATGATTTAGGATTCAAGAACTACAACAACCAATACTGCTTTCTGTAGTTTTACTGTCCATAAATACTGTATATCATCACTGAATTGTCGCCCTCCTTTGGCTGTGACGCATCACTACATCAACAATAAACTGCTTTTCAAGGGCAACTCAAAGCCTCGCCTACTTCAATTTGATTGGTTCAGATTTGTGTTCCCGCAGCCTCATTGGGTAATTCCGCATCAATCGAATGACGAATAAGGAAGTGTAAGAGAGGAAAACGGCACCGGTGAGAAACGTGGGTTAACTGTTGTGTATTTTAAGATGTCTGTCCTTGTTACATTCTGTTTTTAGATTCTTGTCTCTCTTATCTCGGTTTTTAGCAACAATATGAAGTGTTCCGTGTGAATTCGCAGCTTTCCCGCGGCCTCTGTTAACAGCATTTGGACCCAGAAGCTACAATTAGCTGCAATGCTAACGACAGTGTCAGTGTCAAAGCTCTGTCAGCTGTCAGCGTCAGTTTAAAGTTAATTATTCCTATTTAAGGTCGTTTAACTGCCTTCTGACGGACTAATTTAGCTTACTGCATCACTCAGCTAATGTTATTCATGTGCAACAGTGTACAAATTAAGCTATAATGTTCTTTGCTGTAAACTAGACTAGCCTCACTAACGTTAGGGTACATGTAACTGGTCGCAGCTCCAGTGGTTATGATTAGAGGCAAGGTTTGGTTCAGATTTAAGGAGGGAAAACTCACATTGATAGGGAAACAGTCTCCGACACAGCACCTGTTATGTGTCTCTATGGTGGCCACTTACTAGTCTGTTATAAGGCCACTAGGTGGTGCTCCAGATCTTATTATAAGACACCCTAACGTCCAACAGTCAACCTGATAGCACTGATCCCTCAGCTTAGGGCTAAACATTGGCAATCAATCCCATGACCTTATAAAGAAGTGATTGCAATTGATAATAATTTGCAAGAATTGTCAGGCATCTATAGATTTAGACCATGCTGTTAAACATACTGTGTCCTTTGCAACATGTTTGTAGAGAACATTAATATTTTTGAATTTGAATGAAGCAGATTTGTCATACTTGGCATACCCTTAAAGCACTGCCTTTCAGTGTCTGCAATTTAAAGGGCACTCTTGACCTAACATACCTTCATAAGATCTTAAAACACCATCACTGACATGTTATTATTACCATTCATGTTGCCCTTTTCATCGTTTTCAGAAATGTATACCTCTCACCTTCTGAATCGCTTTGCTGCCGAGGAAACCGATCAATCATTGTTTCTCCCACCTTTTCACATGTGTTTGTTTTTCACAGTGTTCTCCCGAACGATGGCTGCCTCAGGCAAACTTGCATCTTTCCGTCTGCCTCCCCTGCCTACTATAGGAGAGCTCATAAAGCTGTACAACCTGCGAGCAGAGAAACAGCTGTCCCAGAACTTTCTGTTGGACTTGAGGCTCACAGGTTAGTCTGCCTCATTCTTTCTTTTGCGCTATCTGCAGTGCACCAGTACCTGCTTGCTCCTGTTCTTTGTTACTGTGTCTACACACCGAGGGCACAATGGTGTGTTTCGCCAGTGCACATGATTGCACAACTCTATGTAGCACTTGTTTCCAGGTATTGAAACTGACAAGCTTTTCTGTATGGGCGAGGTTGGGTTGATCTCCTTCTAATGTGAACGGACCGAGTCAATTGTTTACAGCCTTCGCAGAGCTGGAGCCTTAATATAATTATCAGTGATGCAGTGCAGCTCTGATCTGCTCTCTTGTCCTTGAACAAGGTGACTGTTAGATTAATGCACCTTATCTTCATCACACAGAGTCAGACAGGTATTGTAACATCACACACTATTAATCTCAATTTAGATACCCAAGACTCTGATGAAGACATCTGATTGCAGAGTATGGGGTAATTTATAAGATGCATGAGTTGAACTAAGTTAGTATGTAATTCACAGACTGTAAACAGAAATATTGACGACAGGCACCACTGAGCTGGTCATCCATCTTCATCTTTTTCAGACAAAATAGTGCGTCAGGCTGGCAGTTTGAGGGATGCCCATGTGTGTGAGGTGGGTCCTGGACCTGGTGGTCTCACCCGCTCCATCCTCAATGCCGGGGCGGCGGAAGTGCTTGTTGTGGAGAAGGATACACGTTTCATCCCAGGGCTGAAGGTAAATTGAGCAGCCCCAATGATACGGGCTTACGCGCAGTGTTATGAAGGTCATAAGGTCACTCAGTGGAAAAAGCTCCTACACCTTTAACTGTCAGTTGCATGAGAGCAGTCAATCTGTTTTCAACTGCAGCGTCATTAGCCACCCACAGAGTGACTGATGATTATTTACTTTTTCTGAACACCTTTTCATTTTTTATTTAATGTAATATCGCCTCCATTTTCACAGCTGTTGTCAGAGGCAGCACCAGGCAGGTTGAGGATTGTCCACGGTGACATACTCACTTACAGAATGGACCGAGGGTTCACACAAAATATCTCCAAGCCATGGGAGGAAGGTGAGTATATGAAATTTTGAAAGCTGTTGCAGTGATCATGTTAAATGGAACTTAACTGTGTATGTGTGGCTCCACAGATCCGCCAAACCTTCACATCATAGGGAATCTCCCATTCAACGTCTCCACCCCGCTCATCATTAAGTGGCTGGAGAACGTAGCCAACAGAACAGGGCCCTTCGTCTACGGACGCACCCGGCTCACACTCACTTTCCAGAAAGAGGTGGCAGAGGTAGGTGAACACTACCGCGTGTTTCAGTTGTAAAGGATGCTGCTGTCTTGTCCAGCATCTGAAAATCAGTCATTGTATTAAAAAAAACCTGTGTGACTTTAAAAAGTGTCAACCCAAATTAAAAAATACACATTTTTCCACTTAGCTGTAGTGCTATTTATCAGTCTAGATTGTTTTGGTGTGAGTTGCAGAGTGCCAGCTCTCTCTACCAAAGTACACCCGCAAGCCGTTTCAGCGTGCAAAATAAAGTGTGCATCTACTCATGGACGAGAGACTCATGCTCATCACAGCACAAGATGTAAACATCAATGATGTCCTCCTCAGCTGAGCTGTAATGTTAGCTCGCTCAGTGGTGCTCGGTGAGCTTGCGATGGATGCACACGCGGTGATATGATTGGCAGGCGTAGTTCAGTGGAGAGAAAATAGTTCCCACAAGAAACTGCTCACAACAAGGTCTGTGCATTATCTTGAGTATCAGGGTCATGATATCTCCAACACTCACTCACACCAAAAAATCTAGATTGACAAACAGCACTACAGGTAAGAAGAAAAACTTTGATTTTGGGGTGAATTGTCCCTTTAAAACTAAAATTGAACAAAGCTTAAATACTCATTTAGTCTGAAGTCTACACATGGCCTTATATTGCTCTTTTGCTATGCAGTCACCATTGTGTAATGAATTTCTTGTTTTATTGCGAGGATTAAATATTGATTTCTTGATCCATAATTTGCAACTAAAATGATAAATGTGGAGCATTCTTACTGTTAACGCCAACCAGATCATTCAGAGCATGATCTCTGCTTATTCTTTTCTATTAAGGCATAAACACTTAATTAGAATGCCAGTTTGTTCCAGTTTTTGGTCTTTATGTAACATGTTTGCCAGACATGTTTGGTAACTACTAAAAGCAACCTAATGTGAACTCAGCAATTATCCTGGTCTTACTATATTTGGATGATTAACCTGCGGTCGTGGTCCTCTCCATCCAGAGGTTGACAGCCAGCACGAGCAGCAAACAGAGGAGCCGTCTGTCCATTATGGCTCAGTATCTCTGCACGGTCCACAACTGCTTCACCATCCCTGGACGGGCTTTCGTCCCTAAACCACAGGTAGGATTTAACTTTGATAGTGAACACTACCATGTCAAATTTCAAGCAATGAAGTCAACCTTTAGTAGCAGTGTTGATGTTGTGGCTATCAGAACATCAGCAGATGGACACATTACTATTTCATAGTTCTTACCATACTGTGGGATAACAGTGGGACCTCCTCACATCTCCTAAGCCCTGCTCTGGTCTGGTCCCATGTTCCCGTCAGAGTTCCTCATCATGTCACCATCGCTCATCCCTCCCTCACTCCTCTCGCTTTAAGGCTTCATTAAGACTGTGTTGAATCAGTGTTGTCTCTGTTCTGTCTTCTTTGGACCCTTTCTAGGTTGTAATGATGCCTGGTGGGTATTTGAGTTGCAGCACGATCACACTGCGCCTTGTAATGAGGGCCTAGTTCTTTTTTAGGACCGATTTCTGTCTCTGTGTCTTTCAGCCAGTGTGCGTGTATCAGTGGTGGAAGATAGACGTTCACTCTTACGTAACACAAGAACGCAAAGGGCTTTTTTTCCCTTTCCGGGGTAAGGATTTATGCTAGGACTGAGGGGCGCATTAAGAAAATATAAGCACTGCTGCAAATTTTGAAATATCAGTGATGGCTAATGGACCGCCCCACTGAGATAGATTTTGAGATTACAGACACACAACTCTTTTGAAGGACTCTGGAGCTCTCTTACATCTTTGTACAAATGAAACCATGTTTTTCTTTTTCTGAATTAAAGGATAGGTGTTAGGTTGATGTCAGAGACGGACTGTTGGTCCCTTGAAGATGTCATGGCTCTTTAGGAGACCTGCTATTGGTAAATATTTAATCTCCTGTGTGGAGTAGAACGCAGCAGAGTGAATGGGACCAGCGCTGATTGTTCATTCTCTTAGAAGAGATGACTCCCAATGATTATTTCATCACACTCAGCTGCCTTTCTGTGCGTTTTTTTTTTTAAACTCTTGAACGTCTTATTTGTGTGTGTGTGTGTGTGTGTGTGTGTTTGTGTGTTAGACTGGATCTTAATGGATTTCAGCATGCTCCGGTCTGTGTTGGAAATGTGTGTTTTAGTATGCATGTGGTATTGATAAACATGAATAGAGTGGGCTCACACTACACGGCCATGCATGCACTGCTGATGAATCAGCACCTCCCACATTCGCACACAGGCCAGCTCTCCCCTCTAAATGTTTTAATGGGCACTTGGTCAAATTGATATCATTAGGAGAGATGATGGCTGTTTGATGAGCAGGCCTCCTGCTGCTGGTGTCCTATAAAAGATCAGAGAGCATGCGGTGTATATTAATGTTCTCATACTCTCTGCATTGTGCAGGCCCTTTTTTACTAGTATGTCATGTAGTATAATTCATAAAAAGCTCAGTGGCTCCACATTGTTTATTGGTGCACACCAGAGTAATTACGCAAAATTGCATAAACAATAAAAACGTCTGCCTGATTTACGAGAGGACATCAAAGGCTGGTAGGAGGGGGGGGATTGAGGTTGTGACACACAGTAATATCGATTTCTAAAGCAGTGGTTTGTTTGCAGAGCTGATCTGTGCATTGTCAGGATGCATAAATGCACAAGTTCCAATGGATGCCGTCTGAGTTGTTGATACTGTAAACTGCTTATATTGCTCCAGTGAAAAAGCAAAAGCAAATTATAAAAATGAAAAAAGGCTGGACCCCCCCCCCGTGGGCAGAAGTTAATTATAATGGAGGAGTAACACAGCCAAATATCAAAGGTCTCTTCCTCCACATCCCTCTCTTTCAACTGTCTCTCTCATAGGGCTGCAACTAATGGTTATTTTCATTATCGACTAATCTGCAGATCATTTTCACAACTAATCAATTAATCGATTAAGAGGGTGAAAAATGCTCATCACGATTTCCCAGAGCTGCTTCTTTTGTGCAACCAACAGTTCAAAACCCAAAGACTCTTCATTTACTGTGATAAATGACAAAGAAAAGCAGCAAATTCTCACATTTAAGAAGCAGGAACCATCACATTTTTGACATTTTTGCTTGAAAAATGACTGAAAATAGTTGGTGATTAATTTTCTTTCGGTCGACTAAAGATCGATAAGTCACTGCAGCTCTATTGTCTCTGTTACGCAATATGTGTGTGCTCTTTCAGGGAGTATGTGTGACTGTGCCTCATACATATAGCCAATAAATCGGCTCAGCAATCTAATTGTTGGTATAATTTTGTTCCCACTGAAGCTTCGGGATCACTGATGATGTTAATGAAGGGGAATTTGTTTGGATTGCAGCACACCTGGGCATTGCTTTTGTCTGCTTCGGGCATGTGTTTGTCACATCTGAACCTGGGGCTCTCTGTTCCGCTGTGATTGAGCAAGACCGTGGAGCAGGTGTGCTCAGTCACGTATTGATAAGATATTTCTGTATATATGAACATTCCTGTGAAAACCAAAAAGCACTGGTTGGTCAGCGGTTTTAGCTGCTCTCCCCCCCAACATCACCAACGGCAACTCTCTTACACAACAATAAATAGCATATGCAGCAGCAGGTGCTATATTACACATATGGCAATTGGTGGAGTGTGAAAAACATTTGAAGTGGTTTAATACTGTGTAATCAAACAAATAGCGAGTCACAAAGAGACACAGACACAACCATTCCAAATAACCATGGTGAGAAAATAGCTTCAGTTGAAGGTGAGTGGGGGGGAGCGGACGTGATTGGTTGGTTGATTCAGACCTATAGGAGCTGGCCAGTGCAGGCTAATAAGATAATGAGAAGGGAAATGTTGAATCCATTTTAAATCAGCAGCTGCTGGGGCTCAAATTGACGTGGGTTGGGCAGATAGGCTCTTATCCTCGCAGTTTAATCTGTCTGTCTTGTTGTTCTCGCCCCCGGACTGCACCTGTCTTGTGTCACATTGAGTGACTGAGATTGTCCTTGAAGGTTTCTGAGAGCAGCGATTGGCTGCTTTGATGGTGTTCCCCGAGGCTCGCCGTGCCCTAGGTCTGTCCTGCTGCAGATCACACCTGCCTTCCTTGCCTTATTAGTCACTCTCTGCCTGTTAATTCTCACATAGACAGGCAGATTGAGCTGCCTTTAGATTGCTTCTGTCATTCACAGCTACACCTATATCTTTAAAGTCTTGTTAAGAAGGTAAACTGAGAAGAGAAACTGCGTCTCTGCTGTTGCTTTGCTCATTATACATATTTCTAATTTGTATTCCGGTCAGGGGTCAAGGAGTTTTAGAGCACACACACTGCCATCAAGCATCTGCATCTTCAATAGGGACATTCAGTCATCCAATTTCATCCTAACTGCCTCTTTACATGGAAAATAGCTGATTTTCAAAGAGTAAAGAGTGCGTGTTGACGAGCTCATCTCTCTTTCCCCTGCCTCTCTGCTTTCTTGGCAGAATGTGATTAAAATCAACTCGTGTCCGTCACAGGCAGGTCTATAAGTCGGCCAGTGGATGCTCCATCACGAGCAACCTGCTGTCTCTTCTGTAGAGCTCCTGCAGAGCCAACAACTGTGTCATTCATTAGCAAAAGTGAGGAAGAAGAGGAGGCATTGGGGGGGGGGGGGGGGGGGGGGGGGGGGGGGGGGGGGGCTAGTGGCAGATGGAAATATTAAAAGATAGAGGTGGGGAAAAAACAGTTAAAGAAAATGAGTTGGAGAAAGAAAATGGAAAACAGGAAAATATAACTAGGTGGGGGGATGAGGATAGAAATAAAATATGAATAGCGAGGATACTGACTAAAACCACAGTGAGATAAAGAAATAAAAAGCAAGAACAGATGGGATGAGTGTGTATGGTCTGGTTGGGATGTATGGAATGAAACAAAAGCTTTTTTATAAGAGGATGTAAAAACTGAAAAGCTCCCTTCGCACGAGTATGGAGCGCTAGAAGACAGATTCCTGACAGAGATCGATCTGAAAGGAGAGCGAGGCGTACCTCCAGCAGATGGTTGTCTGGGCCAGTCGTCAGCCCGCTCTGAGTAATGGCTGCATCAGCCATCAGCCACCAACTAACTGAGCCTCACAGGAGGAGAGCCCTACAGATGTTCGCCTTGTACACAATCGGCGACCAAGAGCACAGGCCAGATGAGCAGAGCCTAAATTGAATTTGTTAATGCTGCATTGAACATCCATTACAGCTGGCAGTTGCCAGGGAGACTTTGGATTCCAGCACAAACATGTGTTACACCTTTTGCATTCAAAAAGTAATATTTGTAAAGTCTTCTTGTTTTTGTTTTTCATGGCAATGGAAGTCTGTTTAGACTCCCTGCTACATCAGAAACTTTCTGTTGCTGCCATCGCCAGAGCCGCTCTGCTTGGCAAATGGTCAAGGTAGTCTCTGCCTGATTAGCATGAGGTAACACAGCAGCAGCAGCTAACGTCCAACACAGAGCTGTTAAAAGGTCACACCGACACCGAAACAACTCAACTCTGGTGTTAAACCTGTTAATAAAAGTGGGTTAATGCAAACCCTGTGATGCTAACACTTAGCCCTGCCCTCTCACAAACTGTTCCTGGCGCAGAGCTCACACTCCTGCAGCAGCAACTACAACACATATGCTCTGTCGTGTGGTGAAGTCAAGTGTGGTGTATTTGATGGAGTTGGCAGTTCGGTGTGCGAAGATGCAACCAAAGAGTTCGAAAATATGGCTATACCACATGCCAATCCATTCACATTATGGGTATTAAATTAAGTGTGCTGTTGTTTTTGGTATTACTTTAAGAGCACTGGTACTTTTTAAAAGTTACACAGTCCTAAAGGTTAAGGTGTGAGCAGGTATCAAGTACTAGAATAATTATATCCTTTGGATTCAGGGGTTTTTCAGTGTTGAATGTGACCCACCTCACTCTGGTGTAATGCAGTGGCAGGCTCAGTGATGGATACCTTCTCTGTGACCTGAAGTGGCCCAGTAAGAGCGAGCATCTACTCCGAGGGCCTGCACTGCTTTCTCACCTCCCGCCACACATTCTACAGGCACACAATTCATCTCAGCCTCACTCCTATCTCGCAAACGGGGTCAAACGTGGTATCAAGAGTATGGGGGAAAGTTATTTCAATGACTCGTGCCGGCGCGGTAAACGCCCGAAGGCCTGGTCTCAATACATCACAGACCCAAGGTAAAGAAAAGCTAAAAATACCCCCCCTCTTCCTCTGCCTCTCTCCTTAAACAAAATGCAGAGGTTGGCAGAGTTGGCTTATGAACATCTCCGGAGATCAGTTCCTCTGCCTAGCAAGAAACTGTGCCGGCTCAGAGTCAGCGTTCAGGGTTTAGCAAATTCAGCTCTGTTTAGTTAGCGAGCATGCTGGGAGAATATGCAGGTATTTTGAGGAATAATGCTTAAAAAACCTTGGCGATATCCCAAGAAAATAAGGTCAGCTCCAAATAAGTAAATTGCCAGCGGTGCTATGATGCAATGATAACAAATGAAGTTGGTGATAAAAAGCCTCCCCACAATTGGAGGCATCAATCTATAATCTATTAACTTGAAGGGTTATTTGAACACTCTAATTTAAACTTCATGCACTGTTATTTCATGGCTTAATTTGAGGCTTTTTAGAGGGGCTGAAGGTGTAGGTTGGATTTAGTGGGTGTGTTGATGAGGATTTGTACATGTCAGCGTAAAAAAAAAAAGTGAGTTATTGTATTGTTTCAGCTAAATTATAGTTTAACTGACAATGGCATCAACCTCAGTCCATGTGTGCTGGAGCTTCTTATTATGTTTCTGTGATACAAAAATCTCTAGGGTGATTTTTATCAAGAGAGATACAGATTGCAAAAAAAACAAACAAAAAACCTGATGTGCCATTTAGCCCCCCTCACCTTCAGCTTACTGAATCCTCCAAGCCCCGTGCTCAAAGCTGAAATATTAAAAAGGCCTCCTTTGAACTGTCAGAGTGTATTGTTTTCCTACAAGCGCTCCTTTTGTCATCTCCATAGCTTTTACTGCCTTTCTCAGCAGTTAACTGCGCAGCCAAGGTCATTGCTGTTATTCCCCCAGCCTCACATGAGCACTGGGGACCAGAGCGGAGCAACAAAGGAAGGTCATTCTCCCTCAGCGTTGATGACCACATTATATCTCCCATATGAACCTTCATGAGCATAACAGCTGTCCAAAACAAAAAGCCAAACGTTAAGTATGGTGACAGATTAGAGCAATTTGGGTGCTCGCTGTATTTTGAGCAATGAGGTAATCACTAATGGAGCATTGATGAGTGATGGCACTACAGTTCCTTAACATGCTCCGATATCCATCTCTGTCGGAGAGCAATAAGTTCTCATGCGCTGTCGTCTCATAGTCTTCCACATTTCTTTTTTCTGCCGCTGATCTTTGGAAAGGTTATTCGCTGGTCAAGTAGGTCAATAAAAGTAATCTGCGAATTTTGACGTGGCAGTGAAGTTCAAAGAGAAGCCTGACGCATGATTAACCCCTGCCTGAAATTGACAAGCGCTCACCTCCCCTCACATTCCGGATCTGTCATAGCGGCAACTTGGGGTGAAAGCCTTTGATGGAAAATGTAGGTTAAATACACAGAGGAGCAGATCTTATTAGCGTTCCCCCACGAGAGGAGCAGTTATTTGATCTGCACTCTTGCTGCATAACCAAGAGGAGTGGGAGAATAAGAGGGAGCCTTGAATAATCCATGTTTGTTTCAGGAAAGCACATTCTCACTCAGTCGGTGTCGACGAGGCTCCAATCAGCTGTAATGAGAGCCCAGATTCATTCGGAAACTAACTATTAAACAAGCACCCCATCTGAGGCATGAAGGCTACAGTATAAGACAAAGATGGTAAAGTTTGAGAGCATACAGTACAGTATTCTGATTTAAAACTAACTCTGCTCAGGGCTGGAGACTTCTTCATACAGGAAGTTGTGCAAACTTGTTTTGGCACAGCCAGAGCCAATTTAATGACACACATTTCCAGGACGGGATGTTTGTTTCAAACTAAGATTGCCTTTGTCACAGATCGGTTATCTTGTTAATGCATGTGTTCAGTTTCATAGTTCCATGTACTGAAGCCTAACAGATGCAGGACTGTAAAATCTGTATATTTTAAAATACTGAGCACTTTAAATCTCTGAATAACTTTTTTTTTTTTCCGACATGTACTGAATGGGACATTTTACAGTTAAAAAATAAACTTGTCAGTCGAGCTGGAACTTTTTATTATTTCCATTTTCGATTAATCTGCAGATTATTCCCTTGATTTATCATCTGGAAAATCTCAGTCACAGTTTCCTGAAGCTCAAGGTGATGTCATCAAAGTAGAACTACAACAATTTACCGATTAGTTGTCACCCATGAAATTAATCACCAACTAATGTGAACATCAATGAATCGGTTTGAGTAGTTTAAATAAAGATAAAAAGTCAAAACTGTCAAACATTTTTTGAGGGATTAGTTTTTGCCTTTAATGATGAGACAGTTTTGAGGCATGGGAGAGAGGCGGGGTTTGCATGCAGCAGGGGGCCGCCGGCTGGAGTTGGGCCCACGGCCACTGTGGCACGGACCCTACCTTTGTACATGGGGTGCCCGCCCTACCTAATGAGCTACTGGGCACCTCCAGATGATTCTTAATTGTGAATATTTTTCTGGTTACTTTACTCCTCTGTGACAATATCTTTTGGTTGTGGATAGGGTTGGGTACCGTTCACAACTGAACCGATACGGTACCGGTACCGGTATCTGGAATTCGGTACCGGTACCAAACGGTACCTTATTTCGGCACTTTGGTACTTTTCGGTTTGAGAACATTTAGGAACAGTGCTGCACATTAACTTTTGTCTGCACATTTTTTTGTCGCCATTGTTGCCGAGTCTGAGGTGTGAGTCATGCGCTCTTGCTCCGCCTCCACCTCAGGTACCAAAATTTGGCACCGATTCATTTTAAGTGAATCGGTACCAAGTACAAAAAGTACAGAGTTTCAGTACCCAACCCTAGTTGTGGACTAAACAAGACATTTGAGGACATCATCTGTGGCTTTGGGGGACATTTTTCATAGACCAAACAACTAATTAATTAATTAATTAATTGAGAAAGTTATTTACAGATTAATCAGCAGTGAAAAGAATCATTAGGCGCAGCCGTACATCAAAGCGCCTGTTGTTTTTCTGCTCAAAACTCAAAGACATTCAGTATATAATCACACAAGACAAAGACAAAACACTGAAGTAGCTGGAACCATTAAATGATTGGACTTTTTGCCTCAAAGAGCGACTCAAACATTTTATTGTTTATCAAAACCCTTGCAGATTATGTCTCTGTTGATCAAGCATTCTCAAGCATCTTCATATTAGTGCTCTCTAGTGAACAAACTATTTACTGTTTCTAAATTACCAAACACATCATTTAGAATTTCAGTACAGAAATGTGTTGTTACTTAGCCAGCATTTAATAATCCGTCATCAGTTTGGCCCCTTAGGTGCATGTCTATCATACACGACCTCTCACTGCATGTTATTCTTCTCTTTTGGTCATCTTTAATCAGCAGTTGCTTCAGGTGTTGTCAGTAAACTCATGACTCTGTGTCAGATACACCTGACAACTGAGATCAGATATTGCCCGTTCCCTTAACCTCCCTTAAGTAATTTTATTCATCTATTACCCTTTGCTATCATCTCAGCGATGAGAGATTGGCAGAGACTGGATGTGGTATTAAAAGAAGAATTCCTTTTTCAAAACCCATCTCCACACAGTAATGTTTTATGGATGCATGTTTTAGTTGGACTGATGCTGCTGTATTCCTGGGTGCTGCGTATGAGCAGCCTGCCTGCCGCACTCAGCACAGCCTGTACTATCCAACAATCTGTAGATCTGGCAGGAGAATGAATGCTATCTCCATCCTTATCATCCCCACACATAAAAGCACACAAGACTCGCACGCAGGCTACATACAGCAGACATGTTGCTTTCACAAAATAGTTTTATTGGTAAAAAATAGAACTACTTGCACAAGCACATTGAGACAACTGTATCAGAACTTGTGAACTGTTAATCATCACAAATATGCTCTGGCAAAGTAAGAAGTGCTAAAGCATCCACAAAAATAAGCTGCAGTTATCAAAATGATAAATCAACGTCTTGGTACAGTATATGCACGAGAGTTGTAACTCTTCAGAACTTTTAGGACCTAGTCACTTTGCACTCTGGCCATTTATAAGCTAATGAAATTGCGTGCTGATGATTAAGCTGCACAGCCACAAAAAAGAGAAACCTCTAGCTCTTGTTTTCCTGCTGAATCCCATCAGACAGAAATTATTCCCTTTTTCTCCAGAGTGCCAGTGGTGTTATGTATTTGTACTGGTCCAGGGAGCTTGGAATGCTCAGCCGTTTAAAACAAACTGCTGTCAAATAAAGTAAAGGTGCACTGAGTCGTCTTCTTATAAAGAAGATATGGTATGAACATGATATTGTATTTTATATTGAAAACAATCTGAGGGAATCCTGATCCCTCAGTGAAAAACAAACACCTTGAAAGCCTAGATACTTGTGTACAGTTGTCACAGACTTACAGTGAACCAGAATTCCTGAAACAACTCTTTTTTTATTGTTTAGAAAATACCACACTCGTGTCTTTCCGACGAAAACTCTCATCCCGGTGAAGTCTTGCTGTGCTTTGGGAAATGAGGAATAAAGAGGATTTAAAATAACCCTCGAAAGCTGCACTGGACTGTACACAAGCATCTAGTTGACTTGAGACTTAGTCTGGCAGAACAAATCACAAATCCATAAAACATTTGCTGATGTATAATTCACGTACAAACAACGCAATAAAAAAATAAACAGAACGAACTCCAGATAGTATTAAAACGTGTCATCATGAGACGATTTTGGCACATTCTCCAAACACATAACGTGTCAGTATTAGTTGATGACATGGCACATTCTTCTTCTTTGTTTATTGCATTGGTTATGGTGCCTGGGCAGTGAGTTATTGTCAGGAGGCCAGTTCTGTCAGCTGTAGTCTGTGCTGGGCAAGATGGCTAAGTCAGGGTGGGTGGAAACCTGGCCCTAGAGGGCTGCCAGGGCCGGCAGTGATGCCCACAGAGATGCCCGTGGCGTGCCGGCAGCAGCCTGCAGGTGGCGAGCTGGGCTTAGCCATCTGCTCTCCCCCAGGAAGCTGCATGTTTATGAGAAAGACGGAGAGAATGTGCAGTTCTATACATCAATGCCAAGGCCTGTCTGAAGCATGAAAACCCCAGATATCCCCCCACCCCCCTCAGTAAAGAGTAGACACACTCTGGAACATTACTGCCTGGAAGCGTAACAGTGCTACTGACATGTTAGTAGGTGGGAGTTTTGTTTATGTGCGCGTGTGTGTTGGGGTGGCCATGCTTTCAGCATGCATCAGCTTTCTCTTGTCAGCAATCACATCTATGTGACATGTGACACATACAGGACAGAGGAAGCAAAGAGAGAAAATAAGAGAGTGACCAGTACGGAAAGGAGGAATGGTGGCATAGTCAAGTGGCTGCAATTTAAGACACTGAGACCTTCTGCAGGTGCAGACTGGTAGCATATGCGCACTGCTGACGCACTTGGAAAACAAGTCACATATGGAGAATGACTCAAACCTTTTTTAGCTGCCTGCCACACAGCTACCCAGTCGACCATGAGTCAAGAAGCCTCTCCTTTTGTGCCTCGTCTTAGCCTCCCCGCCACTGCACCATTAAACAGCCGTTCATCCCTGTGAGTCTACTCGCATGGTATAGACACCATAGCAGGGGGGCAGCGAAGGAGAGCATTTTCCAAAACCTCTGACCATGTAACAGGGATGCTGCCTCATGTCACTGGGTAATAAAGGGGATTAGTGAAAGGAGTGTGAGCAAAGGCTCTGATTAAAGCTTCTGGAGCCATGCCTGGAGAAAAAGATGCCCCCCTAAACAACTTCAGATCACTGAGTGACATGCACATACCCCCAGACAATACACATATTTGAATGCCGAATTCTGTTTCCATGGCAGTGCGGAGGAGGATGACAGGAGTGAAAAGCACATGCAAAGAGCCGGCGTGTCTGAGTGTTTACGGTGTACACAAACACACACAAGAGCATGAGGAAGTGTGTGGGTGTGCATGTCTGAGGGCGTGCAGAAATGGGTAGATGGATTAGGATGGGTAGCTGCAACTTACAGGCAGTATGTTTTTGTCTGGGTGGGAAAACAGAAACCGCACATCAGATAGTCCACTCTGCTTAAGCATTGAATTTCTTTCTATCAATTTCTCTCCATCTCTCTCATGTTTCCACCTGCAGAGAGAGAAGCAGGCAACTGTTTGTCTGCATTATCTGTCTCAAATCCAGCCCAGCAGTCCATGTCTACTCCTCCTTACAGTCCTCTTTGAACAGTTACAGCAGGGTAATGTCTCTACAGCTTTTCAGGCACAGGCATTTTGTGGCTATGTCTCAGTCTTCTACCAGGCATGCCGCTGTATTAATACACAGACAGGCTCCACACAGCATGCTTTAGAGGCAAAATATCAACATCATTCTAGCTAACAAAAATATGACTATTTATTTCAATCAATTCTTTGTAGCATTCTAGTGGATAGGTATACGAAAAACTACAATGGCTTGCTATGAAAAGGTTTCTCAGGCATTATATTGCCTATTTTGTCAATTGAGAGGGTACCAGACGATTGTAAATAGCAGCTAAATGATTGCTTTTTTTTTCTTTCAATTCAAACCTTTGGTGAGGAAAACAAAATCTACACAGAAGGCTTCCTTATTTGCTTAATCCATTCCCCGGGGAACTCTTTCTGTGATTTACTGATGAAGGATGTCTGCATTTGGTTAGCGGCTTCCTTCGATGCTGCAGCACCTTATCCTGGCTCCTTACACATTCACACTGTTTGTTCCAAGGCGCTGCTCAGGGAATACCTCCACTGCTTGTGCTTGCAAAACAGAAAAAGGGAGAAGAGCAAGATAGAGGAGAAGGGAAAATGAATTCAAAGTTGTTGCCCTCCTCTCTTATTTTTTCTCCACCTCCATCTGGAGTGGAGCCTAGTGTGTAGCATAAGCCGCGATGGTTCCCCCTCAGGCTCATCTCCCTTTAGCCGTAGCGTACACAGCGCTGCTTTATTACACATAGTCCTGCAGGCTGTAGCCAGTCTTATTGTCTAATGGGGAGAGAGAGCAGTACTGGTGCTGGAGCTCCTGCTGCTGCTGGAGCAGCTGTTGCTGCTGCTGCTGCTGCTGGAGCAGCAATTTGTCAGGGGGAGGAAGCAGGACCAGGTCCTGGGGTCCATGCCTCTTCCCCGAGCAGGACATACAGAAGATGGACCCCCCAACAAAAAGAAATCCTGCTGATACAAAGGCCACGTACACAGCACCCCCAGGCTCAAATTTATTGCTCTCGGGCACACTGGAGTCCAGGAAGTTGGTGATGACCTCGTTGGTAAACCAGGAAGCAGGCACCAGGCACAGAAAGCCTGCAGCAACGAAGCAGCCACCACTGGCAATTGCGGCGTGCCGCTTGGAACGCCGTCCACCGCCCCAGCGTGTGCATTTTAGTCCCAGGGATGCAAGGCAGAGGCCCATGGCAGCCATCACGCAACAGAGCACCATAGTGGTGCGGGCAGTCTGCAAGTACGCAGGTAGTGAAAGCACCGAATACTTAAGTGTGCAACTGAACATGCCAGTGCTGTACCATGTGCAGTCCATCCACAGACCCTGCATCTGGGAAATCGCTGTGATGATGTTGGAGCCCACATCTGCGCTGACCTTCCAGTTGGGCAGCAGAGTGGCCACCATAGCACCCATGATGCCCAACAGCGCCAGGACAAATCCAAATATCTGCATGCCCGTGGATGCCATGCTCCTTCTCAAGTTGATGCTGCTGCCGCCTCAGCCCTTGTCCTCGCCAGGCAGCATTCACCCAGCGCCAGCTAGGCTCGTCGACCCCACTGCCCAGCCGCCTCTCTCCCCTCCCTTAGTGGTGTACCAGCTGCCAGTCAAATCCCCAGTTCCTCAGCTCCTCAGCTGCGGCTCCACTGGACTGGAGGAGAGAGACGGAAATGAGAAATTGAACTGAGTGGGTCCCCTCTTTCTCCCTCCTCCTTTCTCCCCTCATTCACCTAACACAAGCACAGACTTTTCTGGCTGGAAACAAAGGGGCAGCATGAAGCACGAGCGTTAAGAGCTGGCTCTAGGTAAGCAAAACATTGAGGCTGTTGTGCATGTATGCATTTTCTATGTGCTGCCTTCTCCTTTTCCTTACCGGAGCCCCATAGAGCTGTTATTGGAGAGGGAGAAATGAGTTTGTGGTATTTGCAATGCTCAATAGCTATGTGGACTTAAAGCTGCAGTGCCCTCACTCCACTCATATATACTGTATATTATATCACTTTGATTTCACTGCTGTTTTCCTCATAAACTGAGCCTGCCTTATTATCAGATACACAACATTATCTTTAGGTAAAATACCAGTTCATTATGCAATTGTGTCAGCCGCTAGAATTAAACTTTGTGAATGGGGCAGTTGTTTTTATTACTATTTTCTCGGACTTCCTAGCCGGCGCATTGTGATTTCAATCATCTAAATAAATACGTCGTTCTAGCTTTAAATAAACAGTCACAATAGTCTTATTGTTTGCTGTGTTTTTGATCCAAGGAGGAGAAAAAGCGATGTTGAAATAATCCCTTACCCCGGCTGGTGCAGAGCTGGCGCTGACGCGTCACGTTGTTCGCAGTGATTCCTGTAAACACACACAGTCACACATTGAAAAGACAGCAGGCTGGTGAGGGGGCGAGGAGCGGGATTCAGCCCGGATCACGGGTCCATTCAAGCCATCCATTTTCTCTGCAACAGTGTTTGAGAGGACATCCCTGCTCTATCGACCACACAGGCTTGGCCGGAGCCGGGGAGAAATAACCGTAGCGCTCCGGCTCTCCCTGCCTCTCTCTCTCCCCTCTCTCTTCGCCGGTGTGTGTGTGTGTGTGTGTGTGTGTGTGTGTGTGTGTGTGTGTGTGCTGGAGAATAGCGGTCTCTGCCTCACAACAACTTTATAAACGGCTGAAAATCACTGAACTGCCTCCGACTGCCACTGTGTCACCCTCTCCTGACAACAACCAATTAAACGAATAATTAGCTCACTAACCTTATTTTTTATCGTCCTTAAGGCAGAATGCCATTTACCTTGTAAATAAATAAAAGTAAATAGATTTTTTTTTATGGTGAATCATCAAAATATCACCTGGGAAAACATCCATGGTGAGAGTTAGCTAACAAAGAAAATGCTAACGTTCAGTTAATGTCAATTAGCTACCAGTGAGCTAGCTTTCATGTCTAAAAGCTATGACTGTCAGTCTACCCAAAATACAGTTATTTTAAAAAACTCTTATAATTTACCCCTAGATGTGTAACATTAACAGTTATATGTAGAAAGCTTTGGTTTTATTTACTTTTGTGCAAATTTAAGCAGATGTGTCTCTTCACAGAAACAGTGACTAAGCTAACGTTACTCTAAATAACACTAGGCTAATCCCAGGGATACTGTCTTATCAGTTTTTATCGGAACTACTTTTCCTCACAGAAATACACTATAGACAATAAGTTAAAGGAACAGTTCATCAGCTTGTGGTGCTCAAAGCGCCAAAAACATACATTTGAAAAATTCAACAGCAATGTCTCTTTCCAGAAATCATGACCTGGTTACTCAAGATAGTCCACAGCACATGTGAGCAGTTTCACGTCGGAACTACTTTTTTCCTACCAAATACACCTGCCAACCGTATCACTGCGCAGAAGGACGAGTGCATCTACTACTAGCAGCTCAGCCGAGGAGCAGTGTTGTTTATATCTTGCACTGTCATGAGCACAAGCATCTTGTCCATGAGTAGATCTACTCATGCGTGCATCTGTGCACACCTACTTTTGTGTCTGTGGAATATCTTGAGTAACCAGGGCATGATTTCTGAAAAGAGACATTGCGGTTTAATAATGCGGGTAATATTATTATATTTACAATGTGACGTAACACGTTACCGCCCAAAATAAACTGTTTATTGTTTTCATTTTTCCATTCAACTACACTGATCCACACTGATCCACTTCCACCAGTATGCCACCAGAAAAAAAATTCCCCGAAGGTTGTTGTGTGTTGTCATGTCATTCATTATACACTACTTTATAGAAGGGTGCCGGTGATCATGTGCATTATCATGTGCAGTGTGTTTCCATTCATAAACCTACACCGTATCCTGTTCTGCTTTTGCATCCTAAGGCTGCCTGAAAGCAGCAGGGAGAAGGAGCTGACCTCAGGTTTGTTTTTTTCCTCGTCCTGGTAATTGACATATATGGATGATGTTAGTATATTTTGGATGTGTTTCCATTCACGTCTCCTACAACTGCAGAGCTACACCGGCACACAGTCCTGTTCTTATGCAACATTTATTGTGTTTCATATCATAGGCCCACAAATATTTATCTATATCTCAACATTAGACTTTGATCCTCTGCCTGACCCTCCCTCTGTCCAAGGCTATTAATTTATTTAAAAAGATCAAGGCTATTTAACTGTTCTGTATCATTATGCTATTAGTAATATAAGCAGGGGATTTTAATACAAAGTGGTAACCACTGTATGTGAATGCAAGACTGGGTCAGACCTGCTCAGCACTGGATTTGAAATGAACTGTAATAAACTGGAGCTTCTGTGCTTTGATTGCCTGCTGTGACACAACATGACCCTCATCCATTTAAAATCAACATTAATTATTCTGAGCCCCTTTTTATAGAAGTAGTGCAATAAGTACCTTACTACTCTACACAGAAAGTAATATTGTAATGTTAATTATTACTTTCGAATGAAGGTAACTAGTAATATGTATTATATTACATTTTGAGAGTAACTTACCCAACACAGTGGAGTTTTCAAATTTTTTATTATTTAAAAAAATAAAATACAATTTTTGGTGCTTTTAGCACCACAAGACATCTTGTTCCATGATATTCAAGAGGAAGCAGACATATCTATGGCCAATATCTCCAACACCCAGCAACTCACACCAAAACAATCTAGACTTATAAGTAGCACTACAGAAAATAGTAAAAAATATGGGATTTTGGGATGAACTGTCCCTTCAACACATTATTCCAGGGTGGGGTAGCTAAAATTTTCTAATTTATTTCATCTCATTTCTATTTTTATTGTCAGCTATCTGTGTTACCAAACCATAGCCTATCTCCACACTACTAATTAATCATAAGCTAAACTAAAAAGTTGTGCTAAAATTCTACAGTTTCTACAGTGCATACAAGCTGGTGGATTTTAGTCTATTGTTAATATTCTTTATTTAGCCTGTCTGGAGAATAGATTTTTGTGAAAAGAACAGTACAGTACTTAAATGCTAAAAAGTTATGTAATTACAAAATGTGATGTACACCTTCCCATCAAGTCAAAAAAACTAAAGAAACCAAGAATGACAAAAATGGCAACATTGTTAATAATGCGTGAAATTTGGCAGAATGATATTGTTGCTCAATAGGAGGTGGCTATGAAGAGCGACATTATTTTCTTCAGACTTCATTCAGGATGGTGAAAACGGTTCTCGCTGTGTAATTTAAACTAACAAATTAAAACGAAATCCATTACTGGGCAGCACTGAGCTGCTCAGTGATCATAATGCAATACTGCTGTTGTTAGAAGATAAGAAATGTCCAAGATGCAAAGTCTAGATAAGATATCCAAACATAGCCCCACTACACAACTGGGAAGCGTAATCTAATTAAGACAGAAGAAAAATCTGCTATCATTACGACCAGATGAGCTGGTCAGAGTTATGTTGTACGAAGCTTTGTTTGTTTATGTGTCAGTCCAGAGGAGCATGTGTACCTCACCATGCCAAAACTGACCCTCCCTGGGGCATCATCTTCGTCAGGCGTCAGTTAGCAGGAGCCTAAAACTCACAGCTGCGCCCCTGTCTTCCCTCTCCTCTCTGTAGAGGACATACAACAAGGGAGGGAGTGGCTACGGTGGCCTTGATTCATGAATGACAAAGAGGACAAAATGAGAGAGAGAGGAGAGAAAAATCAGACACAACTAATAGACCTGATACCCTTGGAAACGCAGATGTGTGTTGCTGTTATTTTGCTGCATGGGCAAATCGGCAAAAGCAGCCAGCTGCGGGAAATGATTTTGCCTATCCCTCCACTTACAGTATAATGACCAGGCATTGATGTGTGGCCATTACGTGTAGATAGGTTGGTAGCAATTGATTTGTTTAGCTATTGATCTGTTTGTGAAATATGGCCCAGTGCTCTCTCCAGCCATTGTTTTCCCCATAAACTACCCCTAAGAGACCCTTTCTTAAAATGAGATCTGGCCAGCATGCGGGGACAGTGCACACCACATTACCTTCAGTGTGATGTTGGTGTCGACCTTCAACACTGCTCTCTGTGGGCTCTTTGTGGGATACCACTGCAGTGGGGAGAGAAATTCTCCAGTTTTCCACAGACACGCAGTACAGTATGGCGTGTGTGACCTGTCTCCTTGTAACCGATGAGATCCTAAGTGCTGATGCTGGTGTTGTGCTGTGGGGAGTAAGATAAATAAATAAATAGATTATAAAGGGAGAAGATAAAAGGAGTGAAAAAGACGGAAGGAGAGAAGAGCAAAACGCAGTTAACATACGCCCGTGTGTGACTCTGTGATGTGTGAAGATATTGCAGGCTATTATAAGCGTGGTCCCCTTTATTTTATCACCTCACAGCAGAGCTCTATAGCCCCCTTTTTTTTTTTTTTTTTGCAGCATAGCTCTGAGGCACAGCCGGACCAGCCACGCTCCCTTTTGCCCACACGAGGGGCTTTTATCGTTCAATTTGCATTTTCCTCTTTTATGTCCTGCCTTGCGTAATTGGTTTTCGTGCTCATCGTCTTGCAAAGGTGGCCTGTTTGCAGCGGAGATGGCAAGGTGTCGTGTGATAGCTGTGATGTCGCTGTCAATGCAATCTTGTTGTAGAGCAGGGCCCGGGTCCAGTATCACCTTAGATAATATGTGTAAACCTGTCCAAGGCAAAACACTCGTGACATGTTGCAGAATTACTGCCATGACTTTAATAAAGAGTCTCCTGAGGTTACTTCATTAGGACTGGCATTTATGAGTTTGTGAATATCCAATCAAAACAATTTTCCCATGTTCCCATTTGCTGTTCTGCTGGTCCAGTAAATTTCACATTTTTGGGCAAAGTTCAAGTTTTTCTATGACGAAAGCAACTCCCCAAGGAGCTGATCTTGTCAAAGATTAGGGCTACAGTCATGAGTGTCCTGTGTGAATGCCATGGGCGATTTCATGGGAAGTACGCTGGGCTGCACAGGAAGCCAAAACCCTTCCTCCCCAACCCCTCAAGCAACATCATCCTCCTATATTCAGCATTCAGCAGCATTGACTGCTGCCTTCTCCTCTCCGAGAGGCTGTCTCCCTCCACTGATGTAATGGAGGTTGTCTTCTCAAGGTATTGTCATGATTAATGCAGCTCTTCCCCCCTTTGCAGGCTCACTGTGAGCTTTTCTCTCTTGTATTCCCTGGCTGTATATAGCTTTCTTCCATCTCCCTGCTCTTTCTCAGAACCTGCCATTATGTAAGCGCAAGTGTTGGTGGTTCAGGTAGCACGGTGGCTGGTGCCCCAGGGCCCCTGCCATCTCGTCTTGGTTACGCTTAGAGGGACATGACAAATTACAGCTCACACGCCATTGGGCAAGGACTCACCAAGAAAGAGACATTGGAGGTGGAAAGGGGAGCTGGAGAACCACAGGGCAAAGCTGGAGTAATAGAGTTCCCTGCTGAGCTTTGGGAAGGTCAAACGCATGTAATATGGTAACTCACAAGTATCTTAATATAGATGCAGGGCTATTGTACTCAAGTGGGTCAGAAAAGGTCTTGGGTTTTAGACAAAAGCAGACATGTGACTTTTAGATAGAGATCTCTCATATTTTGCCCTTTTCAAACGCTCTACCAGGGGAATCGGCAGTATAAGATGTCCTTTTACAGTGGAAGTGCAAGGTGTTGTTTTATCAGATTGTTTAGAATACCATATGTAAGGAGAGAAGCAGGTTCAAAGTCTTTTCAAGAGCTTTGATCAGATTAGTCGAATAGAGAGAGACAGAGCAAGAGGAATTTTCATGGGCTTGAGTATAGATCCTTACATAACAATCTAATTTAGAGTCCAAATTAGGGGTAATGATTCCCTCGTTTTTCCCTACTAAATAGGATGGTTTTCCCAAGCCTACAAGACATGATTACCGTCAGAGCATTTCCAGTCTCTGTCTGCTTAGTATGTAAGATCCTTACTGACACCTGGGGAAAGGAAAAGGGGGGAGTGGCGCTCCGAATTTGTCATAGAGGTGGCCAGATGGGGCCACTGAAAATCTTAGGGTGGCACTCCAAAACCAAAAGAACATTACTGAATTTCAGCAATTAGATAATGCTGTTGAAGTAAATGGGCTAATTGAAAACTGTGTCAATAATGAGAGTTAAGGAATTGCATGCTGATATACTTTGGTTTTTATTTCACAGTTAATTTCAGTTTTTATCTGATGTGCATAGACTAACACTGGTACAGTTAGTATTTTGAGTTCCACAACATTCCTGTTTTAATGTGTTATGTATCATAAACTGTAAAAATAATGGCTGTAGCTACCTGTATGTCACCCATTGGTTTGTTGACTCCTGTTTTAAAGCCTCATGTCAGGCATTTCGGCCATCGCCATCTTGATTTTTTTGAAGCCAGGAGGGACCACATCTAGGCGAGAGGCTTGCACTGTGGGGGAGCAAGGGATGGATCTGACTGAGAAGTCAAGGACACTTCCGGTAGACAGCCCATCACTCAAAGCGACCCGCCCTTACTTATGCGTAACTTTAAGCCTTAATAAGATGTAAAGGGGTGAGCTTTGTAAAAATTCAACCCTGTGCAGTTGTAATGAAGGGGGGAATTAGCTATAGAGACTAAAACCATGTTGTGCACAGGGCTGTAAACTAGTGGTGTGCCATGTTCATGATAATACCTGTGTAATTTTTAATATGATGTGAAAAATTCATATTGTGATACTCGCGATATTTGGATTTGTTGACATATTGACGTCATACTGTTACCCACGGCAACAACAAACATGGCTGAAAGCAAAATTATTACAGACTCCGCCTTGGTTCCAAAAAGAGGAGCAGCTTCAGTAGCCTGGAATAAACTGTGGCGTCCTAAATGTTTTATGAACAGCCCCGGACTTCTCAGTCTCTTTTAGGGAGTTACCACTCAGAGCGAAGTCATTTAGCGGCTGAAGATCCCAGGGTAGAATTTTTGTATTTGGGAACTGTTTAATGTGTAATTTGTGGTAGATTTTACTTTGTTGAACTATTAATATTGTATAAAGAATCTGAATCTCACTCTAAATAACCTGTTGTTTACAAACTAAAGAAATGAGAGATCATTTTTGTTTAGTTTTTACTGAATATTTGAAGGCGAACTATTAGGTTGGCATGGAAACCTTTATAACTTATTTTGTTACAACTCTATGTTCTTAAATTAATAAGACATTTAAGACATTGTTGTGTGTGTCATATTGTCAAGAATATCATTATCGCAAAAAATACCCTGAAATAATGTAATATTACTTTGGAGCCATACTGCCCTCCCTTACTGTAAACATGTGAACTTGCCTCTGGGGCCAGCCTCCGGTGGACATTAGTGGAACTGCAGTTTTTGGCACTTCCATATTGGCTTCATTTTTCAGCTCCGGAGGTTACTCCTTGGTATCTATACATGTTAGGTGATTCATTGTTCATCAAGTAGGATGGTTGTTTTTTTTTCCTTAAAAAAGACAAATATACAGCTTTAATTTGAATGAGTACATTGATTGTAAGGGAAAAAAAATTACTGGGAACAAGTCTTTGGAAATGTTGCAGAGACTAATGGGTATCCATAGAACCCATTTTAATTCAGATATCTTGAGGTGAATGTTCAAGGGACCCTTTAAAAATGACCATACAGTTGTTCCCTCACCAAAATTTATCCTAAGTTTAGAGTGGTATTTAGCTCCCTTCCTGTCATGCAATGTCCACATGGTTGGTACAGGTGCTTGCCCTAGGTTGTCTAATTTCCAAAGATATCACTACCCTCATGCTGAGTACCCCACAGCTGCTTAAAGACAGTAATGTCGGCCTCCAATTATTTTTCCCAGTGGGGGGCTGGGCCAGTGGGGGGAGTCAGCAGTTGTTTTAGTGTGGCCAAAGCCACCCGTGGCTCCTCCTTGGGGGCGCCACTGGGCAAAGAAGAGATATTACGGTTGTCAGATAGGGTCAATAAGTCAGTCTGCTGCCCCAATTCAGGATCACCTAGCAGATGCAAAGTATTTTGGGGGGTTTTGGGGGGGAGGGCACGTTCATAGCACCTGAATGGAGGGCCCAGGTGACAGTGCGTGATTTAAGATGGAGTTTCCTTGCATGTTGAGGTTATCAGTGGAAGGATTAATGGCAGGGAGCGGGATATATTCCTGTGGCTCTACCTAGTGAAGCCGTGTAGCAAGGCCATACATAAATCATAGGAGCAAAGTGACTTGGACAAGCTGATGGCTGAAATGCTGCTGCCTGTATAGTCCCAATATCGACTTTTCCCCTTGCTCCTCTCTTAAATCATGAAGTGCAGAATATAAATGGCCTAATTATTCCAGCAGAGAGTGAAATTAAAGACATTCCTTTTTATTGCTTCTTCCCAACAGATGGTGGTCTGATCTTGCATCACCAAAGCACTGATAGAAGCATTTTTTTTCCAATTCAGATATAAAATCCTGACCAGAATCCTAACATGTTCAAGTGACACGGGGAGGGATTGATTGTCATAATACAAGCCTCATGTACTAAAACAAATGATGCAGCCACAGCTCTCAGTGCCCTTGACAACACCTGTCACATGGCCTTTGTATTTAAAATGCATCATAAAAAGGGTTAGTGGATTAATAATGAAGTCATCATGAAGACGCTGAGGCCATTACTGACACTGCAAATCATCCATTAAGTCACTGTTTAATGTTAAATTGTGTTAACATGACAAAACCGACATTAAAATTCAACATTACATTTATCCAGCAGTACATGCACTTACAGCTTCAACTCATAACAACCTTTCTTTCTTCCTCCATGTCGAACCCTCTAACGTCAGACCCAGGAGTTTGAAGTTTCCTCTGCACTGTTATTGCACATAGCAGGGCACCGCAGGGCAGTTGAGACAAAACGTCTCCGTCAGTGCTGTCCCATTAAACACCACTGCGGCAGGAAGCTCAGACGCAGCCAGACATCTCTGGACTACACAGGGATCTATAGATCTGATAAGAGATAGTGCTGCGGTTTACAAGTGCTCCTGAGCGCTACCTCAGTTGTTCGCAGAAAAAGGGGAATCTAAACAGCTCATTAGAAATCCTTTGCGCGTCCTCGGACCACTTTAGTTTTCCTCCCCTAATTATCGACGCCAGCCCCTAGCTGTGGAAAGCAAGAGGCAGCTGTGAGTGAGTCACACAATCCAGAAATACAATCTTCAAGGATGCACGAGGAGCTCCGCAGGGCATATAGTCTCAACAGGAGGGCCGTTGAGCTGAATAGATGTCCTTTTTATTTTGTCTGTGTGTGTGTGTTTGTATGAGTAAGAGGGGGAAACAAGTCTGTGGGTATGTGCCTTTTGCATGCTTGACTTGCCTTTGAATGTTAAGTTAACATGCTGTGTTACATTCCCATTCATGCACCTGCATGCTTCCTTCCTTTACAACTTTTGTCCACTCCCATTTACATACCTGCACATGTACATTATGCAACATCTGTCCTCTCTGTTGTGTGTCTTCTCAGCTTGTATATCCATCAAAAAACATTCCCATTCCACTTCAGATCTCAAATTCTCTTCCACTCAGATGTAGTCTCGAGCTACTTATATCAATGTTTGTTATTTTTTTCTTGATATATTAAGAGTGATTGAGAATCTTGAAGAGCCATCAAAGCCAAAAAGCACTTAAGGGCAGTGAAATGTATTATTATTATTAAGTCTATCACTGCTGATGGTTTTCCTCTGAGCCCCATTGTTAGTCTGCTCAGCCAGTCAGAGTACAGTCCCTATCAGTGCTCCCTCGCTAGGGAAGTAAGGCTATTACCAACTATGGAGAGACAGACAGATGACTGCTCTGCTCTGCTGCTCACTGTCTGGCTTTGCCATTGGTCCACACACAGTAGAGTGTCTCTCTGATTGCGCGGTAGCCCCTTAAGCTATAACTTGCAGAACTGAATGCCATCATGTGAGAAACCCTTGATAGATGATGGCCTTGTTTGCACTGCCAACACACACAGATCCAGACATCCAGAACTTGTCTTTTAATGTATTTTGGTTCTTTTGATCCAATTATGGCGTTTAGAAGATAAAGAGAACAGACAATCCTTTAAAGGGTGATGAGAAATAGCGTGAAGAGAGACTGCGTGGATGTATATGTGCATGAAAGTTAAAGAGGGAGTGATGTGAGAACAAGTTAGGCTCTGCCGAGTTTGGCACGATTACTTCAGCAGTATGTCATGTCAGCTTAGGGTTGACACAGGAAGGATCAGGAGTCAGCAGCTAGTGAAGAACTGGAGCAAAGGTTACCACTATAGGTCGACCAATATCGGATTTTTAAAGGCTGATATAGCGGATTAATTGGTTGATATTATAAAAAGCTGTCAAAACCTAGTATATGGCTGGACTGTGTATGAAACGCTAGAGGGCTTTTAATTTGAAACAGGAAGTAGCAGCAGCATCTCAGTCGTAAATTCAATCAGACTTTCTTTTAAGCACTCTAGTTCTATACCACTGAAACAGCTGTTGCAGTTCGGTGAAACAGTTTATGTAAATACATGCTAAAATGAAAAATAGGTAAGAAAGTTAAGTAAATAAAATGTATTTATGTTGCGCTTTTATAGACAAAGGTCACACATTGCTTTACAAGGGCAATATACAATATAAAAGAACAAAACATAGAAGATAAAGTGACTACCCTGGCCACGTGGTTAAAAGTGCAACGTACATGATGAAAAAAATCACAGTACACAAGAATACACAAAATAAAGACGATACAGAGCTAGTGCATACAAGTTACCCTAATGCCTGTCGAAACCAGAGACTCAGCAGAGACTCAGCAGAGACTCAGCAGGCCATAGGGATGCAGGCAGAGCATTTCAGAATGTAGATGCTATGGCCTCAAAAGCTCGATCACCACGGATCTTGAGGCTAGTGTGAGGGACAGACAACAAATTTTATTCATTTGACCTTAGAGAGTGAGCTGAGTAATATAGGTGAAGTAGTTCAGCCACATAAGCAGGAGCCTGACTTTGTAAAGCTCTGTAAGTAAGAATGAGAATTTTGAACTGGATCCTGTATGAGAGTGGGAGCCAGTGAAGAGATTCTAGTATAGGGTCATATGAGACTGTGTGTTTGATCTAGTCAGTAATTTTGCAGCAATATTCTTAGTGCTTGCAGACAATTAAGAGCAGGAATACTAAGTGAGGAAATACACTTAAGCCCCGTTTCCACCAAGCGGTACGGTACAGTTCAGTTCGGTATGCTTTTTTTCATTTTCCACTGCGAAAAGCTGTGGATGCTACCAATGGAACCGCTTTGTACAGTCCCCATCTTTGGTCCCCCCTCTGTTGGGGTACCTAGCACACAGATCTGGTACTAAAAGGTGGAGCTGTGAACACTGCAGTCTGTTGATTGGTCAGTAGCGGATGGTCACTCTGCTCAAGGCTGAGTTGTGGCTGGTTTTGAAGCTCATGTAACCACTGTTAATACCGTGGAGAGTTTTATACATTGCTGCCTCTTGCAGCAGCTGGAGTCAGAGAAAAAGCAACTAAAATTCACTGGGCCGACTGCCAGCACCTTTTAATGTGGAACGTTTACTTGTAATGTTACTCAATGCACGATTTGACGACGTGAATCAATTAACACACTTTAAATATTCCATTTGAGAACTTTGACCATTACTTTAGTTTTTATATGACATACACTTTTAGCAATGAGTGGATCTTCAAGCGTAGAAAAAAAAACGGCGTCAAGGAGCGCCTTTTCTGTGGGCACCGTTAAACCCCTGAGCTTGCTTGAGAAGGACCAAATGCACACACACTCACACAGCAGAAGTGACCTGCTTTCTCTGGAGCACTGATCAAGCTCCTTTTTGCTTGTTGTATATAAGTTGCAACCTCCGGGGATGAAAACTGAAGCCAACACAGACGAGCCAAAAAACTGCAGTTCTTCAAATGGCCACTTGAGGCTGGCTGCAGAAGCCAGTCAGTCCCATCAACCCCTGTGTTAAAATGCCTAAATTTACAGCAGGAATAAACATGCTTACAACCTGGTGCAAAAAACAGTTTTGGTCTCTATAGCTAATTTCCTTCGTCATGACAACTATACAGGGTGTGAGGTTTTTTTTATAACTCACCTGCTTATATTTTATTAAGAGCAAGATGCTTTAAGTGATAGGATGCCTGCCGATAGTGTCCTCTGCTTCTCAATCAGATCCACCCCTCGCTCCTCCACAGTGCCAGGTCTCCAAAAACCAAGATGGCAATGCCCAAAATGCTGAACTTAAGGCTTCAGAATGGGAGTCCACAAACCAATGGGTGACATCACAGTAGCTATGTCCATTATTTTTTCAGTCTATGGATGTAACACATTCCTCCCTTCTTCAGCTCAGTTGGTGATGTAAGTCATCGGCTTGTACAGTACAGCAGGTAGATCAGTAGTTGCTAGGGTTGAGTGGGAAGATTGTAGAGTTGTAGTTTTTCCATGACTTTCTTTCTTTCTTTTTTTCTCAGAAGGAGTTGAAAGCAGATATGGGAAAATTAGTCATAGTACCTGTGTTCACTAAGTCTCTTATAAAGCATGACATGAACTTTGGCTGCCCAATGTTCCCATCACTGGATCCATATATGTTCGTGCTTCATTGGGTTCATTCTCAGAGGAAAAAGGTAGAGCCAGATAGACAGACAGTGGGATGAAGAGGAGAGTGCTAGAGTGAGTCAGGCTCACAGGTATTGAGAAACTCAGTGGTGATGCAGAGACACGAGGAGAGACAAGAGAGAAAGAGGGAGGCTCAGTTTCTATGGTCCATCGCACAGGTGTTACTGTGGCAACTGGAACCGGCTCGCCAGCCAGCCATGCTGCGTCATCTTATTTTCTGCCTTTCCTCTTTTCTTTTATTCCAGTGTATTGATCCCACCACCTCTCCCTCTTCCTTTGTCCAGCTTTGTATCTCTCTTGCCATTTGTCAGGCAACCTTTCTCCGCAGCTTTTTTTTCACCACACTTTGCATTCTCCTCTCTCCTCCTCACACCTACCTGCTCTTTTCTCGACACTTTTTGTTTTCTTCATTCCCGTGAGTACAGTCTTGAGTTTTAAGGTCTCTCTTGCTGTGTGTGTGTGTGTGTGTGTGTGTGTGTGTGTGTGTGTGTGTGTGTGTGTGTGTGTGTGTATAGGTGGATGTGGGAGTGTGTCACTTCACCCCTCTGGTTCAGCCCCAGATCCAGCAGCCCTTCAAGCTGGTGGAGAAAGTCGTCAGGAACGTTTTCCAGTTCCGCAGGAAGCACTGCCATAAAGGAGTGGAGTAAGCACAGTTACACAACTTGATGTAGCTTTCAAAGCGTCTCTGTCTCTTTCCCCTCTCTCTTTTTGACTTTTTAATCTTGTCCCATCCTCATCTTTCATTCTCTCTCTACATTTTTCATTCTCTGTTTTTTGACAGCCGCGTCTTCATCTCATCATTAATTAGAACGGTTTTTGATTTTGCTTCTCTCTGTCACACACACACTCACACACACACACACACCACTCTGACAAACAAAGTCACTGCTTTTGAGGCTTTCTGTAACCAAAGTCTGAACATCGGAGCACTCTCGGAGCTCTGTTCAAAAAACCACTAGGAACAAACCCACACGCCCACATGCATGTGCACGCTGCCCATCGCCCCCGTGCCTGTTAGGAAAGTGTATGTAGGCCCAGATAACAAAAGAACACTGGCTGTGCGAAAGAGAGCAGCAATTATGAGTCATTGAGGTGGCATAGGAAGACGAGGCAGCATATTTTATGTAACTACAACGAGTTGGCGGCAGCGGCACCAAATTGGAGAGGAGGCACCAGCACTGAAGCGCCTAAAAAGCATCTGTACTGTGGAGTGTGTGCAATTGGCTATTGCTCACCAACCTGCAGAGAAAAAAAAAACAAGGAAGAACATCTCAGGCAGGGAAATGTCTTTAAAAATAAATGCCTCTCTCTCTGTATTGAATATTCTGGAGAGCTTTTCAGGGCGAGAGCCAGCTAAATAAATGAAAATTGGACATTTAGAATTTAGCTGCCCTCTTAATGTCGAAGAAGTTTGTGTCTGTGTGAGTTTTGTGTCAGTATCTACATCCCTTGACTATGGAGCATGGCAGTGGAGAAAATTAACAATTCATGAGCAGCTATAGCCCTTTGTGTGATTTCAATTAACTTCGCAGATTTGAAATAATCGCTGAGGGATAATTTCTTTCTGTTTGAACTTTATAATGCCATTAAACTTGCATGATCATTAAGATATCAAAGCGACCTGAGTGTAGGAATCAGTTTTTTTTTCATCATGTTTTCTCTTTTTTTCTCCCCCCTCCAGGAAGTTGTTCCCCGAGGCGTGTCGTGTTGAGCTGACAAAGGAGATGATGCAGAAGGCAGATGTGGACCCCACTCTTCACCCTACAGAACTCACCATACCTCAGTTCAGGGCTTTAGCAGATGCCTACGCTCATTTATGCACCCATGAACCCGGTCTCCTTGGCTTTGAGTACAGAGAGGAGCTCAGACTGAAGAACCTCGCCAGGAAAAGAAACAAATCAGTGGACACGTTTATGGACAAGCCAGCCGGCACACCACCAAATCCTCCACCACCCTGCTAAATAAAAAAAATAAAAAAAGGCACGGAAGCCAAATGAAGCCCACTAACAGCTTCTGTTAGCACAGGGAGACAACAGACTGCTCTTAGCCTTGACATTTCCACCTGGCATATGCATGCATTTTTAAAATGTTTTTCCCTGCACCCAGGGAGCAATAGGTGGTACACATGAAATCCCGGGACAGAGACAAGAACCATGAGGCTCGTAAAGATCCTGTGTGGGTTGGATCAGCTCCAAGACGTTGTTCCAGGATGGGACAGCTCAAAGCAGTCATGTGTAGTTACCCACAGTAGCTCTTTAAGAGTGAGTATCTCTTTATGTCCCAGTTCTTATTTCAGATCCAATTCACATAACACCTTGTCCTGTGGGACCTGAGAGAACCGTCAGAGTGTTTTCAGGGTGATTTAGAAAATGGGAACAACATGGCAGCACCATATCCAGGCCATTTTCTCCCTCTTCTATGTACTGTATTGCTTAGTCGCTTGGGAGACAGAGCTTAAAGGGAGGAGGAAAGTGGTGGGAATTTGTCAGCTCCAGAAAGACTCTTGTTGTATTCAAAGAAGAGGAATTCATGCTTATATAGAAAAAAGGAATAAATTAAACATAATCTGCTATTGATACAAATGAATCAAATCTAACCTGTAAAATATACATCATAAATGTGAGCGGTGGCGCCATTGTTGTGCACATTTGTTACGTTTCTTCTATAGAACACAGCATTTATGACATGTATGTTAAATACGTCCAACCACTGTGTTGTTATTTAAGGTTTTATATCAATAAAAGTGTCGTTACAAGTTTTAAATATTCCTCTTTTGAAAGCTTACACAGATTATCACCGACAGAACATTGCTTGGCTGTTTCCTGCCAGTATGGCAGATGGCACGCTAAGGTTGACTTGCCAGAGAGAGAATTCACTCAGTTTTGATGATTGGATGGTGTTAATCTCCAACTACAATCAGGATTTCATCAGATCTACATGGCAGATAGGTACGCAGGCCTGACTGTGTGATCTGCGTGCTATCGAGATACCTCTGTGACCCTGAAGAAACACAGGGTGGTAGTTTTATCTTAGGATAAGATTTTTTGGGGGAAAGATGATTGCATGAGTGGGTAATGATTGGACGGTGAGAACTAAGGGTGGGTAGATGGATATCAAAATGTCGATACTACAAGTACATTTTTGTTTTAAAGATTGATTTCAGCGTCAGTAGGATCGATACTAAAGCTTCTCTCTTCTAGGTTGTGCCTATTTGTACTTAAAAAACTGTGTAAACAGTCTTATAGTCAACACATCTGGTACATGCACTCTTTACTTCTCCATTGCTGTTGTGTTGTGTGCACCAAAACAACATAAGAGTCACACACATGCAGCACACCACGGTATACGCCCTGTCTGACTAGTAACTGCAGTGATGGCTAAGTGAAAGAGGAAAAAACATGAGAACGAGAACTTGAAGCTGCAGCGGGAAAGGAGGCTGGAGAGAAAGGCCTCAGCATCCAGAGCCCCGACACAAAGGTTGCTTTCACACCTGTCCTGTTTGGTTCTGTTCAATCGAACTCAAGTCTGTTTGCCCCCTAGGTGCGTTTCGTTTTTGCAGATGTGAGAACAGCAATCACGCTTGGATGTGTACCAAAACAACCTGATCGAGACAGTCTTGAAGAGGTGGTCTCGGTCTGGTTCAGTGCGGTTCCTTTGTGGTGAGAACGTGTTCGGACCTCGATCCGAACCAACTACTTGTTTGGGTTAAACATGAGCATGTTACAGTCCTGGAGGATTATTAATGTGCGCCTCCTCCTGTACTGCCTTAATATGCACATTCAGCACATCTAATACATCAAAGCATTGTTTTCTAGTTGGAGCCGCGCCTCATTTTCAAACTGTATGGTTTGACTAAAATGAACAATGACAACAATATAGTCCACGATGACCAGCGCTAAAATCAACCTGCGTAATTGTCCCTCCATTGTGACATTAGAAAGTGTCACATTTATCTTGCAAGTGTACTCTTCTTCAACGTTTTGTTTGCTGCCTGGATTTTTCCTGCATCGAAATTCTGACCAATCAAGAGCAACTTTCTCGCTCAGGTATTTTATCTGGTCCACTTGTAAATGTTGCTGTGAGAACACGAACAAACTCTAAGCTATTATGTACCTTTGGGGAAAAAAATTAGGCCCTGATTCGGACCAAAGCAAGAGAACTATAGGTCTGAAAGCACCCTAAGACAGCATTTGATGAATCTTTTCAGAGAGGCTCAGACAAGGAATATCCAGGTACCATTATACTGTAGTGAAATGAATGTTTTAGTCAAACTGGACCTTCAGCACTGTTTAATGTTACATATTGACTTATTACTCACCTCATAAATAATGACACACTGCTCTCAACTGAATTAAATTACATAAGCCGCCTTTAATAATAAAAAGTATCGGTATTGATATCAGTGACTGCCTCTGTATAACTTGGTATCTGATGGAAACATTTATTTTTTTTGTTGGTATCGTCCACCCCTAGCACTGACGTCACGCGCACAGGGTAAGTGATTAGTCACTAATGAGAAACACCTGCGCAGCTGCCGATAGAGACATTCCGTTATGCTACACTGAGGTGATGTTTGCTTGTTTGTTTGGACTGTATAATATCTTTAAACGCCACCATCATTTTTTAGCATTTGTATAACACTTCAGCTGCCTACTGTACCTAACTTAAAGCCAGAGGAGTACTACCAGCTACTGTTTTCACCAGCTCCTCAGGACAACCGTGTGGGTGACACCGAGTCCAGTCCTGCAGCTGGGTGAGTCAAAAATCTTGTTCCCCTCTTTAATGTCCATCTTGTCAAAGTGTCTTAGCATTACACCATGTATAGCCTACCTAAAAAATGCACGTTTCTGTAACATAATGTAATGAAATATGGCGTTTTCAAAATGGGAGTAACACTACTAAAGTATCACTACTACAACGTAAACCATACAGTTTATAGTACAGGTACGGTGTTGAAATTTACGTAAAAATACGTAAGTAGCTTAAAATCCGCAAATTGTAGCAGTCAAAAACTAAACATGCTTATTTAAATTTTACATTTTATATTATATTTTTGTTTATCTGTTATGTAATCAATGAAACATGTTTTTTTTTTTTTTTTAATAAAATAACTGTAAAGTCTCGTTTATCAAATACTAAGTGTTGGTAAAGCCAAGCAAAGCTACCAAGAACTTCACACTGGAAGAAGTTCAACTACAGTAGAACCACTCTAGGGAGAAATTTAGTTTGGTTAACCTAAGCTACTTCGAAAAAGTAGTTAAAACTACTCTGTAAAAAAAAAAAAAAGACCAAACTGACAAGGTACATGTGATACAAAATTATCAAAATATCATTAAAAAATAGTCACATGCCAGATAATAAACCAATCAATTTGTGTCACTTTAAATCATAACATATGACTGCAGTGAAATGCAGTCGTCAGTTCCATTAATTTGTATATTCAAAAGAGTGTGGTAATAATAAATAAATGTCTATGGGGTTAGTCACTCAGCTAAAAAACAAAAAACAAATACAAAATACCCCACTGCTCAGGTGAAAGTGCAGGAATGTTAGCTTTGGTTCTATATACAATGTCCATCAGTCAGACACCTGTCACATGTCAGCCAAAATAAATAAATAAAAATAAGCCACTCAGTTGAGTTCAATGCAAAAAATGTCCACTTGTTGCCAGGTAATATACACCAAAATATAGAATACTGGTCTAGTGAAAATGCAGGCATGTCAGCATTTATTTTGTGTACAGTGTCAGTCAGTCAGTCAGACACCTGCCTTCAGAAACTGGAGTCCAGGTACAAGTACTCAGTTAGCCAGGTAACTTTTAAAATAGCAGCAACAACTTCTCTGAACATGTGTCAATAAATAGTAATTATCAGTACTTCTTAATAATTGACACCTAATATATTTAAGTTTAATTTTAGAAATTCTGCCTTTACAGTGGTCAGAATGAAAGAAAAGGAGGGCAGGAGGGTATTTTACAGTTTCAGTCTGGCCCTACTACCACCCTTCATAACGAGCCTGGATACCTTTCAGTTTTAAGAAGCGCCATTAAACTGCCACAGCTGTCTGTCATTGCACAGTAGCCCGATAAAACACACCAGACCTGAACCACACTCAGTTTTGTCCTTCTCCTCGCCAGCTGACAGCTCACAGTGAGGCAGTCTCCCGGCCACCATCATGACAGATTCACTCCAAGTGATTTGTCACAGATTGTGAAATGCAATGGCAAAATAGTATGAGAGTTACTCCGCCAACGTTACCTGTCCACACATATTTGGATGGCTGTCTGGTAGTCCTCCACACCTGTTTAACAGATGATGAAATAGTCCTGTGTGGCTCAGTGTTAAACTTTGCTAAGAGCAGAAACTAATCACGGTCTACATATGGCTTACCTTGTGTAGCTCAGTGGAGTGCATTAAGGTGAACAGGTGGTGGGTTGGCAGAGGTCATATTAAGCATCTTGGGGTCATTTCACCAAAATCACAGAAGTGTCCCAAAGTACCAATTAATAGTTTTTACTAAGACATATTGCATTTGACTTTTTCAAATGTCGTTTTTTAATGCTGTAAAGCAAGCCTGTATAACTTACAAAATAAGTTGAATTTACAAGCAATCAAGGTACAAAATTAGCACGATCTGCTAGCCAAATACTGATTACAGCTTTACTCACCAGCCCAAAAAACAACAGTGGTAATCTATTGAGTGGCTAGCAAAATTTGAACATTCACTAGCCATTTGGTCAGAGGACAAAAAGCCCAAGTTTTCACCCTGCAAACAATAAAAAAAATAATTCAGGGTTCCCACACTCATGAAAAACCTGGAAAAGTCATGGTATTTCACAATCACGTTTTCCAGGCCTTTAAGTGTCACAGAATTGGTCAAAATTACAAAGTCTTAAAAAAATGAAAAGTAAATTGGTTGTGTATAATGAAATGTTTACAATAATCTTCATGTAACGTAACATAATGACTAATTAATTGAAGATAATAAACAACGTCTGGCCAGCTCACTCAGTGTAAAAGTCCATAGTATAGGCAGGGAATCCAAAAATACATCTTAGGCAGTCTGACTGTAGTTAAAAATTCTTCATTGATACATGGATAACCAATGTGTTTCGACTGGAGTCCGCATCAGGGTGAAGAGAAGAGCACCTGCTTTTTACAACGAACTACACAGAGCCTTAACCAAGTGCAGCACTCCCTTTTTTTCCCATAATGACAAATTAATTTTCTTCAGCTGTTAATGTAGCTTAAATATGTGTTGATGTGTGACAGTGTGTTGTTTACTATCACATATGTCAATTTCTCCCATGTTTAAAATAGAGTTTGAATCTGATATGTTTGGAAAAATGCAGAGCAACTGGGGAAAGAAAAAAATCTTTATTATTGGTCCTTGCTGCTGAAGGTAGATATTTCTGTTTAATTGATTCTAAGTCATTATTATTATTATTATTGACTGGATGTTATGTCTGTGTTGTAATTTGTGCTACCACTAGCCATTGAAACATTATCAATTGTCACTTAAGGCCACAATAGCTGTTGTACATCATATATAGGCTTGCTTCATGCACCAAAATTGAATTCCATTCACCTCCAATATGGGTAGTGCCCAATGTAATGAAATGTAATGTAGTACCAAAATGTCAACAGATATCTCAAAATAAAGCTGAAACTCTAGCTATGCAGGTAACTGGGAAAATGACTTGCAAAACATCCTTTAATTATTTTATTCATTTAATTGTTTTCAGTCCTCTAGCTTTATGAAAG